ATCAGCAAGGAACTAAACGTACACATTCATTACCAACCCAGCACAGAGCAGCGATGAAAGTTACCATAGGACACAGCACGCAGCGGGCAGAGGCGCGCGAAGGGATCATTCTTTAGTGCAAAGCTGAGAATTTTTTAAAAAGCAGAAGGCTCTAGCAGTTTCTCATCCAGATCATGACAATTTCAGCTTAACAGAAACAAGACGTCAGACCTCACCAAAGGAAACAACGCATAAAAGAGAACCCACGAGCAGATCGTTCTGTCCCCCAGCACCATCCGCTCTTCATGCCAACCAGGAGGTCCTCACGGCCACTTGACTCTGCCGCGGGCACCACAGGCTTAGAGGGACCTCCTTGCTCCCCGTCCTGCCTGCGCTCAGCACTGACGGGGCCTGACAACCCGCAGGACAGCCTGCAGATGTCCAGTGCAGGCACCTGATGCTCCGGCAACCAGCGAGGTACTAAAAGCAATCAGCCTCCTGGTAGTCTCTAAACAGAAACTATATGCCTGCTTGTTATTTCAATTAGATGACTGCCTTTTACTGCAGAAATTAATAAAGCCGTTAGCCACCTCCCTCATGATACCATGCTGCTTCTATCTGCACACTCCAAACAGCTACAGTTAAAACCCCTCTTCCAAAAAACCCAAGAATACCTCAGTGGCTCCCACCGACATCTTACCTCCTCTGAAGTGCAACCCTTCTGCCTTGTCACCTTGAGTCACACTGGCTCGTCTTTCTCTCCTGATGGCCACACCCAGACGCCTGCTCTTTTGCCTTCCCCTTCGCAAGCTGCAAGCGCAGCCGGCAAGGTGGGGCCCCTCGTCCTCAGCGCGGCGTTAGCTCTGGCAGGCTCCCAGCCAAGGAGCCAACCTGCACACCAAAGTACCCAGAACTCCCCACAGACCAGCATGGCTCCACACTCATGTATGCCTGCCAGACACCATGCTCCAGATTGCCTTGGGTCTGCTAACCACAACAGCAGCAAATAGCTTGAGTGGAACGGTTGGGTTTTGAGGGAAATTGGGAGGAAACAGCATAAACAAGGTTTGCAAAGGAGTTAAGACATTCAAAGATTAAATGGCACCAGGAAGTATGCAGTGAGCAAGCAGGCTCACATCCTAGGAGAAGCAAGCAAAACTGACCCCCATGGGGCAGAGAAGGGGCAGTGTGGGCCCTTCGGACACGTAGGACGACAGGACATGTTTGTACTCTCTTCTGTTTCAGAAGAGCAAGAAAGTACATTCGCCACCAGAAAAAT